GCCAGGCCCAAACTCCTGACCTGCAGAGACAGTGAGACAATAAATGAATGTTGTTCTAAGTCACTAGAGTTTGTAGGAATTTGTTTCACAGCAAAAGGAAACAAAAACATCATTTATGCTGAACACAAGTATTCCAAGGAAGATATATTTAACTACACACAGGGATGTTCCTGTGTGTAAGTGAAAAGTGTTTGTGAAATTTCAAGTAATCATATAAATGTCAACCATTATTTTTTATTCACTTTGCAGTATTTTAGACCAAATATACAGGAGTGCCTTTCATGAATGTGCTTGATTCCATCCTTACAAAATGCTAATTCTAGCACTAAATTCTAAAACTGAAAACATTTTTTACTAGGCTTTCAAAGCAGTCACTCTTACAAGTACAATTAGTGTAACGTATGACCCTAAAATTGGGCTCACACCTCTATATCTGGATGATCCCCAACCTACCAACTGAGAGAGAAAACAAACTAAATTTACTGGTAGGCACCAAAAACGATTTTTGTCAGAAGACAGACACCTTGGTTCAGAAGTTTCTAAATTTGCCCTGGGCCTTGTTCTTACCTAAATTGCAAATTTCCTGTTCCTAAACAGACCACAGTCCCAACCAGTCACCCTAAAAACAGAACATGTCTGGCTGGATCTTGGCTCTGTCACCTCCCCATTACAACAAAAGTCCACACGAGATTCTGCCTCCATGGCAATCTAGCCTGCGGGCGGGGAGGGGGAGAAAGAAGGTCTGACAAAGGACAGAAAGCGCAGAGAAAAGCAGTGCTGGAATGTCAGCACCAGCATTTCCCAGCCACTGACCCCACGCAGAGCCAAAATGCATATCACACAGCTGGTCCCAGCTTGAGCCACACTCTGCCAAGAGTGAGGAATAAAAGCAAACAGAATCTCTGACCCTGCTGTTGGTTACCCATCAGCCCAACACTTCCCTCTATCTCATCTCACCTGATCCTCCTCCATCTCCAACCAAACAGTCCAAAGCCCTCACTGCACAGACCGCCTGGAAGCATCCCAGATTTAGACTGCAGGGCCACAAACAGCTATGAGGCAATACAGTGCTATTTAAACAATCCACCTCAAAGCAAAGAACAGATATTTCTGGAGCATGCGTCTTACTCAAAAGGTTGCAAGTACATTACATTAAAATAAACCCATATGTATTACAGAATTCCTTTTGGAAGCAAAGATGTCAGCAAAAATTCCCTATTGCAGATAGACTTCCACTGTGCTACAGACCCCCTGAAAAACCTATTCACTCTTTTCTGCCACTAGAAGCTCACTGCTGGGCAGTCTGGGATGCAGGCCTTTCAGTGAACTTCAGGCCCACAAGTGGTGATAAATCCTTCCCGTGGGGGCATATCCTTCAGCATGGTACCAACATCAATAAAGTCACTTCATTACACAATTCCCTACCAAACTGGAGAGCGGGCCTCCTCAGCATCAGTGTCCCTCTCCCGTTCCTAGGATGCTAGCTGCGTATCTGCCCACTGACATGCAGCCCATCTACTTTGGAAAAAGCTGACCCAAGTCTAATCCTAGGGGTGACATTTTCTTTCCTACTTCCCTTCCTTCCTTCCCTCTTCCCTTCCTTTCTCACTTTCTTCTTCCGACCTTGGTGATATCAGTGAGCCACAAAGTCAAAGCAATTCTGAAGGAACTACCACTGGACTCTCAGGTATACAGGTCAATAAATCTTTTTTTTTTAAACCAGATTTGACTGGGTGATCGCTACTTGCAACAAACATATGCTGACACTGAATAGCTCCAAAAAGTCTCGTCCTGTCCAGTGCTTCAGATTTAGCCTGACAAGTTCACAAAGTTAGCTGCCTGAAGATTCAGAGGACACTAGAGCTTGTGACTGCTGTAGAGAGTTGGTAACTCACACCCAGGGAAAAGCAATCCCGCATGAGAGCACCATGAAGTAGAGACTAGTTCTTATTTCTTAATGTGGAGGGAGAAAAAGAAAGGATAGATGGAGGTGGATGGCAGGATGCAAGAAGAGTTTCCCAACCAAGGACACTGGTTCATATAGGAGACTGCTCAAGATATGGCCATATCCAGAGTTTAAAAGTCCAGTCCAAGTGTCCTTCTGCTCACTGGTCCCCTTATAAATCATGGTTCTGAACATACAAATGACAATTTGTATGACAATTCAAATACAAAATGACAATTCAATATGCACGAATGATGGATCATCCTAGATGGTCACCCAAAGTATAAAGCAAAGTTATAGACTATAAAACAGATTTTATAAATTGAACCTTTTCTGAGAAATAACTTAAAAACAAAGTGAAACACAAGACAGAAAGATGCTGCATGTCATATTAACTTAGACTTGATATCAAGCTAGACAGCTTTTTAGCAACATATAAACATGTTACCAAAATAAGAGCCAGAAACAGATTTCCTAAGGGTGGAATACATGACATTTGAGGCTGGGAAGCATGGTTACCAAATTTATCAGCAGTATTTTTTCAATTACAACAGCAGTATATGCTCGATTTAAGTCTTACTATACAGAGGTCTAAAAGAGTAATCCTCCGCTATCCCTGTCCCCCCTCCCACTCAACTGTGGTACTCAAAGTTGAAAGCATTTTTTTCCATGCATATACTAATATGCACACACATATGTACATGTTCATAAATCCACCCCCACTTAAAACAAGATAGGCTCATACGTTATGTACAACTCTACAGTCTGCTTTTTTTTTGCTTAAGGGAATGCCTTGCCCTCTGATGTGGCATGTGTTTAAAGTTACAAATGGAAGATGTAAAATGGAAATAGTAGGCCTCAAGTATCATGGAAAACATTAATAGATACCAATATCTGGAAGCCAATTTTCTGATTTTGTTTTATAACCAGAAAGGGTTATATAATTTAGAAAATAAAATTAGGTAGGGCTGAAACCCAGACATTTCGTCTGCTAAAGACTCATGAATGTTAACACTTGGCATTTTGTTAAAAAGGGAATTGTTTTACTGTTAGTGACCACGACAAATCGGGTATTCAAATGCATGTAATGTTCTACTCTCCAATCCATTTTCAATTCATCTAAAAGTGAACTGCGCTTCCTAGAGCCAAAAAGAAAAATGATCAGCACTGTTAGTTACAATATAATTGGTTCCTCCTATCTCCATCTCAGAAAGCAGTGTTTAAAGGCTGTCTTTTGTTTGATATCAGACCAATAATTTCAATTAAACCTGCAGAACTATCAGGCTCTCCCACCCGAAAGCAGAACTGCTACACCGGAAGGGAAGGTGACACCAGGCCTCACCGCCAAGCCAAACAATGCCGCTTCCCGGCTCTGCAGCAGCGTCCTAATGCCTCCTCTACTTGGATCAGCAACCTAACCTACCTCTGAACTGTAACTACACCTCTGTTTTTTATCCAGTTATCAAATAAATATTCCAAAAGCAGGACTCTTGTCTTATGTTACTGTCAACGTGTTCCCAGCTCCAACAATCAATAGGGATAGATTATTATTATGATTATTATTTCATGAAGAAATTAATTACTCAACGTTATTCTTAAAATGAGCCTGGTGTTATGTACGGTCTGAATGCTTGTGTCCCTTCAAAACTCGTATGTTGAAACCTAATCAACAATGTAATGGTTTTAGGATGTAGGGCCTCTGGGAGCCCACACGCATGGGATAAGGTCCACAGGCTTCCCTCTTCCACCATTATGAGAACACAGCGAGTAGGCACCGTTTATGACCAGAAAGCAGGTCTTTGCCAGACACTTAATCTGTCAGCACCTTCATCTTAGACTTCCCAGAACTGTAAGAAATAAATTCCTGTTGTTTATAAGCTATGTAACTTATGGTATTTTGTTACAGCAGCTAAAATGGACTAATAAGACAGTTCAAGGAAAGAAAAGTTATATATGACAGAAAATAATACATCTTCTAATTTTGCATATAATTTTAATGTAAAGACCCACAAGTTACAGTTGTTCCTAACTGCATCACATTACTACCTTTTCTTCATTTCTACTTCCTCCCCATATTGGTAGACAGAAAACTGGAGCATGTGCCAATATTCCACTTCTCTATGCACAGATGTGCATTTTAAAAAGAGGGAAAAAGAGCTCAAAAGCAAGGCAAATCTATTAAAATTACTTCTATCCAATCTATCCTGTTTTCTTCTTGGCTCCTGGAATAGGGAATCAACACCCCATTTCCTTAGTTAACAGTATATCTTTCCCTCCCCAGATGCAAGTACTGTACATTACACAAACTTCTGGGAAGTTGTATGTAAATATCTATTTTCACTCATGTTTTAAACATATTTAGAGAACTTGATAGTTAAAAGAACACTGTGAAATCCTTTCCAAAGAATTTTTACAACATAAAATTTCCTACTTTCGTATATATTTACATGACCACATTTTTGTTCATGACATTATGCCTCTGCACACATTCTTATCCATTAATTGGTTCCGGTCCCTAGTTACGACAAATGTCAAGAAGGTTCACATCTTTTTAACAGTTTACTGACTTGCATTTTAATGAGCAGCTTCTGAGTGATTAGACCTTGCTAATATTATGAAGGCATCCAAGATAGTGTCTATGGGTTTTAAAACTACATCTGAACAGATGTTCCTCAGAGGACAGGAACTGAAGTACTGCACCTGCTTTATTTATTTTAGTGGGGGTATTGGGGGATGAACTGGGGGCCCCACGCTTGTTCTGCCACTTGAACCATGCCTGAGTCCTGCACTTGCTTTAGAACACCCCCAGATCCCAATGCAATACTCTGCACACAGTTGATTCTCTTTAAACACCATTGGGAAAGACTCACTTGACTCTTACCAATAATATTCCTGTGCCAAATCAGCCAACACTCAAATCTCTCTCTAGGCAAAACAAGTATCTTTGGACTGTAAGGAACAAAGAAAAAAACAGAAGAGTCTGAGGTAGAAAAGCCAGCTCTCTGCCACAAAGTACTAAGTCTAAACACCACAGACGACCCTCATGCATACTCACATATATTTCATTATGGTCAAAACGCTTCTTGAGGTTGTTGATGAAGGTCTCCTCGTTGAGAGGTTCTAGAAGAACCATATCTCCAACGCCAATCATGTTGTCCAGCAGTGATGTTTTCACCTCCGTTTTGGCCATGGTCTCCTGCTGGATAAGAGAGGAAAGGACTCAATTCAAGTGAGCAGAAATAGTTCAGATGGGATCTTGGCATGACTGGAGAAATGAGGTTCACCCACCTCAAAAAATGTCATCACCTCCCTCCCTATGACCTAGGTCAGAAGCCTCTGACTTGCTGAACTTGCCCCAATTGCCAACTTGCTACCAAAAATGAACCATCTTCTCAGTCCATTCTGCAAGGCAAAATCCATCCTCAAAAGGAGCCACTAGGAAGCAATGGTCTCCCTTTCATTCTTTCGACCACCTCCTCTCCACAGCTGAGACTGCAAAACTGCAGCAGAACAATCCAAACTGTCCCTTTTCTGCCCTGTCCCTTGCATACCAAAGTCAGACTTGAACCTGTATAACCACCTTCCTCCAAGATGACATCTTCTAGCATTCCATGGTGAAATTTAGAATACATTTTCCCAAGAAATAATGTTTAAAAATGATACTGATAACATGTATTGGTCACTTGCTAGCTAGCAGATACTACAGCAAGGAACCTTATATCCATGAATTAATTTAATCCTCACAATTAAGGTGGGTATTATCTCCATTTTAAGATAAGAAAATTGAAGATCAACTTGCTACGATCCCTCACAAGTGTTTTTGGGTGGTGTTAAAGAACTCTATCACCACTTAAGAGTATTGTAGGATGTGAGGGCGATCTGGCTGAGACATCTGTCACCCCATTGATCGCCAGGGTTAATTCGGCTGATCTGGCTGGCTAGGCGGGTGTCCCCTTCCTCCCTCACCGCTCCATGTGCATCCCTCCCGAAGCTGCGCACTCGGTCGAAGAGGACGACCATCCCCGATAGAGGAGGACCGTTCTTCGGTCAAGGGTATACGAGTAGCTGCGCTCCCCTGCTAGAACCTCCAAACAAGCTCTCAAGAGTATTGTATCTGGGGGAAGATTTCATTTCAGACACTCAAAAGATTTACAACGAACACAATCCACTGGTAAGCAGAGGTCCACATAACGTAACTTGCCAAGAGTTACCTCCATGTTCTGAATCTTCATTACAACAGACAAGCCATCGTAAGAGCAAAATCAAATGAAGATGTAACTACTAGGCCGGATGAAAAAGTCTACCAAGTAGAAACGGAGGCACACTGCAACTACCCAACAGAGGAATTCGATATCCCCTAGGCTTCTGATCTGACTGCTCTCAAGGGGACTAAAATTCTTTCAAATATCTGAACATAGAGAAGAGCAGAAGGTGTGTGTGTGTGTGAGTACTGTGTGTGTGTGCACATTCATGTTACTTTTTCTAATGTTATCAGTATGTAGAACTAAATTCATCTGGGCCATCCCATCTGCATGTTTCCAGTGCAGGAGTCAGGTCTGTAAAACTTCAGGATATTAAAGCTGAATGATACTTGAGAATCTAATAAATACACGTACACATGCCCCTGGCACTGAGTGGAAAGTACTGTTTGATTATCTCCATTAAGGAGACACCCAGGCACAGCTTATCATAGAAGGATTGATCTGCTTTCTTGTGTCTTAGCAATTTAAATCAGTGTCCTCCTGTTCTAGTCTAGAACATTCAGGTCTATTAAAGGTAAGAGAAACTACATCTAGCTGGAATGTCTGAAGGAGAACTGGCAAGGACTAAAACTTAAGTAGTTCATTATTAATTACTAGCAATTTATTTAATTGCTATAATAATAATAAAATTAAAAGTATGAAATAACAAATATTTCTTTTGTTTCTAACCCTATTAAAAATATTTTTTTTGGCTCTGTAAAGCCAAAAAAAGAATGACTACAATAAAACTAAAGGGTTCCCTGACAAATAAGAACCACCAAATAAGGAAGTATTTAACACTCCAAAGAATAAAAAGTAGCTTTTTTGTTGCTATTGTGCTTTTTAAATTTCATGCCAGCTACACCTGGAATAATAGTTTCAAGTATCACTAAAATCTGACTGTAGTAGTCTAAAAGAATGGTTTCATGCTGGGTTTTTGTTGTGGTGGTGGTGGTGGTTTTTCTTTTTTGGCGGGGGGTGCTGGAACTCTGGACTTGTGTTTGCTAAGCAGGCAATCTATCACCTGACCCACACCTCTACATCCCCAGACCTTTTTTGCTTTTAGCTATTTTTCAGGTAAGGCTGTTTGTTTGGTTTTTTTTTTTGTGGGGGGGGGTTGCTGTTTTGTTTTGTTTTGTGTGTGTGTGGCTAGCCTCAATCCACAATCCCAATCTCAGCCTCCCAAGTAGCTGGGATTACAGGCGTGAGCCACCACACCTAGCCTGGTTTCTTGCATTTTGAAGTAGGTCAGGCTCTGATTTAGAACAAAATAGGTGAGGACAGGAGGTATTTGCCATTTTCTGAGAAGGAGGAAGAAGCCAGAGACAGTGGAGCTGACGCCAACATCCATGGAAAGACATGCATAGGAATAGGTCTGAGTGCCCAACCTGTGTCACAATAAATTAACATTCAAATCAAATTTCAAGTTTTCAGACTCTGTAATGCCAAAAGCACTCTAGTTGCAATACATTACATATAATTTGGCAGAAGAGGGAAGAAGGCTTAGGGATTAAGGGGGAAGTCAACCTGAGAAGAGCTTCAGAAATAGCTACCTCAAACCAGCAATTTAAATTAAGCAAAGTGGTTGAATGAGACCTCTGCCCCAGGTGGATTTCTGCATATAGTCTATTTATAGAAACAGCTGCAAAAGCACAACAGGGCTTGGCTACAGGTAACAATAATTAAGCAGCCAATCATCTCAGCGACTAAATCTGCTTCACCATTTTTTCTTTTCTTTATTTTTGTGGGACTGAGATTTGAACTCAAGGCACCTGCTTTGTAAGCATACTGCTTGAGCCATACTTCCAGTCTTTTGTTCTACCAGAGATGGGGGTCTTATGAACTATTTGCCTGGGCTGGCCTTGAATGATCCTCCTGATTTCAGCCTCCTAAGTAGCTAGGATTACAGGCATGAGCCACAGGTGACCAGCTTCAAAAGCAAAAAGTTTTTAAAAAGTTTGTATGGGTTCCAGTTTTTATACTTCTAACTTTGTACACAATGGGGGGATTATGAAAGCAAAATAAATGGTAAATTACAGGGAACTGATTTGAAATAAAGTGAAAAATTGAAAACAAATTTTGCAAAAAAAAAAAAAGCAAATCAAACTGAAAAGACATTATCAAAGGCTCATTTAGTCAATCAAGTGCAGTTTTCTTTTTTGTCTTTTTAGCATCTCAGTACTTTGTGACAGAACAGTGACAGCTTCCCTCATCCTCAAGGTACATATCAGATGCAGAGGAAACCGTGTAGGGGTACTTCCCTATCTTTCTACAAATGGACCCATTTTCCTTCTTGTGACTGTCATCTCCAGACTGGGTTTAGTTCCCTTGACATCTCAATGAAACCAGTTGCTTTATGTGTTTCATCAAAAGAAACTATATTTTTTTCTGAAAGAGCTATGCAGACCAGGGGAACAAACTGCAGAACCACTTGCTAACTCCAACATTTCCATAAACCATTGGAAGACTTCACTTGGCATCATAGGGGAAACTGAACGATACACAAATATGTGCGTATGTATCAAACAAAAAGTATACATGTGTATATAGTGTACATATGCATATTCTCTTTTCCCAAGAACCACATGGGATCCCATGTTGTTCTGGAGAAGGAAGTATACACTATGCTTCAGGAATTAGCATGTGATCCACACACGCTGAGTCAATGAACATATTCCCAGCCATCTTCCAGTCCACTGTCACTGATTCAAGTTAGCCTTGTGACCAAACCTCAAATGCTGGCTTGGAATATTAGGACAAAAGCTCTCTCTACCTCTGGTTGGTATGACCTGCAGATGTGACACTTGGAATGGCTGTGGCCATCTCTGCTTTCATGAGGAAGTCTAGTCCCAGGAGGAGGATAGCACATAGAGCAGAGGGGTAGGGAAATGAGTGAATTGTTGGTAATGGAGTTCCAATGACATCGCACACCTGCAGATCAAATTGTACTTGGAGCCAGCCCTGCCATCTCTCAAATTTTCAGTGCCATAAACTAACTGGTTCTGTTGAAGTTGACTGGATTGGCTTTTCTATTATTTGCAACAGAAAGCATCTTCCTAATAAAAGAAACTGATACCAGGAAGTAGAATGTTGTAAGTAACACTAAAAAATATGGACTGGTTGAGCTCAAGCATGGGACAGAGAACACAGGGCCTCTACAGTGGGCAGGCAAAATGATCATCTTTGGTATCTAACAGTGAAACAGCTGACTAAGCTGTGGCCTGTGACTTGAACCTTGAACATGCAATATTATACAATTTAAGAAAAATTCAGGATACTAGAGTACCTATTAGTGGAACTGGCCTGTCAGAAAAGCCAGAGGAAACATGGCACTGCTCAGAGGGGTCACTCTGTCAGGAGTGACCTATCCCAAGCCAAATGCTCTGCCTCTACTGCCTGAGAAAAAGATAATTCCTCCCACCTGAAAGAAGACTCTGAAAGGCACCACCACACTCCCCAGCTTCTGGCCCAGGTGGATTGTAGTAACCAGGCTCTATGGCACTATGCAGAGAACCAAGGCCATGTTCTAATTTCAATGCCTTGCAACTTGGCAGTATTTACAGTCTTGGTTACCAGTCCATGAAAGCAAATAAACCTTAAAAACCCAAATACCTCATTAAGGGAACTATATACAGTGACAAGCAAGACTGGTTAATAGTGACTTATGGCTGTTTGATCCTAAGACAATAATCCCCCAGGGCATCCAACTTAACCAGATCAAAAACACCTGCTAAAATATGGGAACTCCCAGACATAGTCTTCTTCCTAAGGCTCATCTTGAAGACAAATGTCCAAAACCCTTTTTGGAGAGGCGAACCCTCTATGTTGGCAGGGCATTTTACTTTCCTAAGCAGAGGTATAAGGAAGGTGTATGTGAAGCTAAGTGTGATGTACACACCTGTAATTCCAGCACTTGGAAGGCTGAAACAAGAGGGAGACAGCCTACAATACATAGCAA